AGTGAGCTCACAGTGCCAATGTGCACACACAGAGGAGAACAGGTCAAATGTCTCAACAATGACTTCAGAGATCCTTGCACAGGGGCACAATGCTCTTCTCTCACTAGAAAAGAGTTACTTGGACCTCTCCCCATTCCTAACACAACACAGGCCAATAGCCAGCTAGACATTCAGACCCACGGCTGAATATTGAATAGAAGGGAGCAGCAACAAGACACAAAATTTCAGGCCCTGGTTTTATGTGCCTTTAATACTTTTTTCCTTTCTGCTGTGTTCACTAAACAATAATATTTTCTGAAGGCTACTTTTTGTAGCTTTTTGTTTTCCCTTTGCATTTATCATGTTTTTAGTTTCTTCTCTGAGGAGCAATTCTCTGAATCTGTGTCTTCCAACTCAACTTGGTACCTTTTGAGGCCACTGTGGCCATGAACAGCCCTGGTGCTGTCTGTGGCTGAGGTGTCAGTGGGGTCCTCTCTTGTTCCAGCATTGGGGGTTTCACAGGCCATTTCAGACCCACAACAATCTTTGTGTAAGAGAGTCCCTGTCAGGGGTAAGTTATCATGGTCAGTGTCTAAGTGTCCTGGGGAAGAGCAGGCTACTACCTCCAGCTCCCCGAAGTTCTGCCCATTGTTGTGGGGATGAGGGGGCCGGGGGTGTAAGCGTCCATTGTTGTGGTTGGCACAGATGGTTTCTAGGTTCCTCGCCTCACTTTCATCAGACTGGGTCCTAGAACAGTTGCCAGATCCACTGCTGAGCGTGGAGCCAGATGCCTTGGGGACACGGGGAGAGGGTGGCTCTTCAGCCCAGCTGCTCAGGACCTTGCTCAGGGCCTTTCCATTGAGCTTCTTTGTTTCAAAAGAGTGTTCTACAGAGCTACCATTGCTGGTGTCCTGAGAGGTGCCCTCTGGTGCCTCTGCCCGAGGGTGGCTGCTGTGCTCATGGCCTGGGCCACTGCTGGGATTTCCAGTGGACGTCCCTTCTTTACATGCATCTTTGCTGCAGCCTTCTGGAGGCAGGCCCTGATTCCTCTGGGCCAAGGCTGTGTTCAGAGAGGCTTCCTTACTAGAAGAAGGAGCAGGGTTTTCCTTGTGGCTGTTTCCTGCTCTCCCTTCATCTGCCTCCCCTGCTACTAGGGAGGCCTCTCCGACTTTGTTATTTGAGTAGGAGATGTAGGAGTACCAGAGCCACTTGTACGCTTTATAAATCTTTTGCTCAACTGATTTTATATCTGAGGTTGGTGACCCCCGGCTCAGCTGAATCTCCAGGGCGGAAGTGCTTCGCTCAGGGGAGGAGGCTGGGGAGGAAGAAAGGTCATCTAGGTTGATCTGAGGGTAGTCGCAATTGTCCTCGCCAATGTAGGTGCTGGTGGGCTTGGTGGGTGCACCATGCCTCTCCTTCCGAAGCGTCTTCTGCCTCCTCCGTGCAGCGTTCCGCTGTCTAGTGGAGGTGCGGTGCACATTCAGCTCCTGCTCGTCCTCGGAGCTGCTGGAGCTGCTGGAGCTGCTGGACTCATCCTCAGGGCTGGGCGAGCGGGGCCAGGGGAAGAGGTCTGTGTCCAGCTCGACCTCACAGGTGTTCTCCTCTGAATCTGACTCATTGGACAGGGCTAGAAGGCGTTTGTCCTGGTAATGCCTCAGAGCTGAGAGGCGCTGTTGGTGAGAGGCAGAGTCCTCACAGGAGGGGGCTGGTGGGGTGGACGCTGCTGCAGGTGTGGCGGTGACACGCAGGGGCCCCAGGTGGAAGGCACTGTCGGCTTCATCCACGGTGGGCGGGTGGAGAGCGGGGCAGCGAGGCCGAGGATTCCAAGTCAGTGTAGCTGGAGCGCTCACTGACCCTTGCGTGCAGCTGGAGGATGGTGCTCTCACTGAAGTCACTGTCCAAGTCCGAGCTCCAGCCCTCGATCTCTCGGCGGACCAGGGAGTCAAAGAATGCCATCATCCGGGGGTCCTCCTGGACAGACTGATTGGCGTAGTCATGGGACAGGCCGCTCCCACTGTTCAGCACCAGGCTTCATGGAGGTAGAGGCAGCGGGAATCATCCTCAATGCGGCCATCGAGGTCTCCAGTACATCCTGGCTGTTTGTATGGGCTCCAGATCTTGATAATCTTTTCTACACCAGAAGAGCAGATCATGTAGGTGTGGGGATTAAATCGGACCTGGTTAACAATAGATCGTTGCCCTTTCAGCACCATGAAGGCTCCATTGACCACCCTGCGAATGCCACCTGCTTCAGGGTCTGCAGGGATTCTCCACATGTACAGGTTGAAGTCATCAGAGCCTGAAAGGATATATTGGTCACGATCTCCTGCAAAGCAGCAGCTTTTCATGGTGCATGAATTAAAGTAACCCTGATTGTCAAACTGGAACACAGGCAGGCGGGAGTGGATATCATACAGCACAGGAGGCAGGCGATGCCTCAGGGCCAAGAGTTGGGTCCCGTTGCTGTTGAATCGCACATTCATGGCACTTTGGAGGGATAGATTGCCACCATAGCACAGGAGAGAACTCTGAGGTTTTTGAATATCCCAAAGTCCTACTCCTTCCTTTGAATTGGCTGTGGCCAATAACCTGGGCTCCACAGGGTTAAACGTGACACTGTGAAAGGCTGAAGGATAGTTTGCCAGGCAGAAAGGCTCTCCATGAGACTCCCAGATGTCCCAAATGAGAACTTGACCATCATCTGAAGAGCTGGCAAAAATGTTGTCATTTACTGGGCTCACCGACAAGCCATATACTGCATCTTCATGAGCAAACACATCCAAGGTCTCGCTGCTTTCAACATCATAGAGGATAACTTGTTCATCATTTCCTCCAGAAAATACTTTGGTGTTCCCACTGTTGAAAGCTAAGCAAAAAATGTTGGAATGGTGCTCTCCTTTCAGCTGTATGGGCTTGACCCTAGAATGGATGGCTTGTTCCATGTGCCACAGCAAAACCCGGCGGTCGTCTCCTCCTGAGACCAGCCACTGGCCTCCATTGTTGGAGAATTCAATGGCATTGACACAGCCGAAGTGGCCGAGGAGGTCCTTCTTGTAGAGGTTTCTGCAGCCCCGCAGGCGTCTCCTCTGAAAGTCCTGAGTGAGCAGGGGGTCCCCATGCAAGCCCCGCTGGGACAAGAAACCCACCACTGACCTCATGCTGCCCCCCAGGCCAGCTCTCCTCTTCATGTTGGAACCGTGACCGCCGCTCGAGCCGCCGCCCCTCCCTCGGCCTCGCGCGGCTGCCGCTCCCGCCCGCCCTCCCCCCCAGCGCTGCGCGGCGCTCCGGATGGCGCCTTAGCCAGCCATGGCAGAGCAGCGAGGTGTCCATAATTAACTTTTTACCAGTCCAATTATTTAAATACAGGATGACCAAAATTGGATTTTTTGTTAATTTTTATAATACAAGAAATATAAAAATGACTGTTTTATCAAATGTATTCAATAATTTTTCTGTGTTTGGTTTATTTTAAAACATTCAATACACAATACAACGTTATAATCTGCACTTGATCGTAACCAAAAGGCCGAGAAGCGATACAACGTTATAATCTGGACAGTAGTTAGCCTCTTTCCGAATTCTTTATGAATTATTATCTTTCTTTGAGCAACATACTTTACACTGTCGTGTTAGTCTTTCCCTTTTTTTTTGTGGGTGGTATAATTTCAATAGAATATCTACCCACTAAACAAAATGGTGAGGATAAGGATGATGGACATCCTGGTTGGCATTTTTTTTCAATTATTTGGTCTATTAGACCTAACCTAAATTGTAAATGACTTTTTGAACCCCCTTGTTTTAAATAAATAACAAATGAATTTGTATTGTTTGGTCCAGAAGGTGCAGAAATATTTTATAATAATGTTTTCCTTGCTCTTTGGTTACAGGATAGCTTGTTAGATGTTGGTCAACTCTGTCAGTACCACCCATAGAATTGTTATCATCATTGATCACTATTGGAATTTTTTCAGTTTTGGTTCTTTTTTCAAGTTCTCTGTATTATGAGTAGTTGACAATAAGGAGACATGTTTTTTGTCTTTCTATTTCATAACACAGATTTTTCCTCTCTGATATGTTAATATTTCTCCCTTTTTCAGTTTTTTATTTTGCAGATCTTTTGGCACTTCCTTCCTGTTCAGTCTCAGTGCCCCAACATGTCTGTTTTGTACTGTAAAAGAATATCACTGAGTTCCGGAGAAGTATAAAAATTATATCTAATGTATTTAGGATAAGAGTTTTTATAGATTGTAGCACAAAATTATAGATTATTTTTAACCAGTAAAATAAACATGAATTAGTGAAAGGAAATAACCAGAACTTGTTATTAGATTTTACTAGAAACAAATGTCAAAGGCAAATACAAAGTTCTAAATAAGAAAAAATAGTCAATACAAAACAAACAGATGTATGAGTGTGTCTCACGCAAACAAAAACTGACTGGTTGAAATGACACCTGCCTGAGCAATGCCCGGAGGAAATGCACTGCCTGAGTGACACTGGAATAAACTGTTGAGTGGTTAAAGCTCACATTTTAAAGAGTGTTCTGTGTCTCATGCACACGTGACTCAGACACATGTAAAGAGAATCAGGCTATCAGCCTGAATCTGTTTGAGCAATGTCCTATTTAAAGTGTCGGCAAACTTCACTTGTGATCTCAGCCCAAAGCAGCTGTATTCTCCAGGGCTAGAAAATTCAAAGCCTCAGCTTCTTTTATTCTGTTCTGACTACTTCCACAGGCTGAATGAATTCTGGAGAGGCTAAGCCTAAAATAACCCTGAGCGCTGGGCACTGCTGGGTATATCGGTAATAGATGAAATACTTACCTTGTAGTCAGTTCATCAAAAATGTTTTTCTAGGGAAAGTAACTATTGATTTCAGAGAAATACTCTGTATTAAATTGTCAGTAAATATAACTTATGGCATGTGTTAAAATTAGGTATTTTTTCCCAAATTTAACTAGGATTTCTTTTTTTTTCAACAACAGATTTTTTTCTAATTGTTCTTTTCCCCTCACGTTTCAGTCTTTAAAGAAGCTCAACCATGCCAATGTAGTAAAATTAAAAGAAGTTATCAGGGAAAATGATCATCTTTATTTTATCTTCGAGTACATGAAGGAAAATCTTTACCAGCTCATTAAAGAAAGGTATGGTTTGACCATCCTGTTCTTAGAAATAAGTATTGCAAAGTGGCTGTATTTTCTTACTGCTTTTTTTTTTATTGCCATCTCCCAGTTCTTTCTCTGATTATTTAACAGTCAGGCTACTGGGCTTCAATGCTGGAAGCAGCCCCCATCCTAGAAGGGAGCACAGCCCACTTCCCTGCCATGGGAGACCATGTGATGGCCCCCAGGGAGCTGCTTTCAATGTAGTGGGTTTCTTGTTTTAAAGTTGCTCACCCAAAGAGGCCCAGAGGTTTAAAAGGCACTCTGTATGTCTGTTCCCATAAGGGCTGATGGGCAGAGTGGCCACAAGCCAAGGGTGTACCCAGCTGCATTTATTTTGAGGCCTCCATTGAATATTCTAGGCTTATTTTAATTCTTCTCTTGCCACAGTGCTCAAGTACTTGCATGCTGGAAAGAGGAGACCAGTAAGAAACTTCCCTCTATGATAATTTTGAACTTTGAAATTGAACTGTGGACAGACTGGGGTTCACTTTCTGGTGGCCAAATGAATGCCTTTTGTGACTTCCTCTGAGTGGTTTGAGTGAACACATATCATCTTCATTGTCAGTACCAGCAGTGAAGCTGTGGGCATTGCCCAACCAGGGAAAAATGTTAACATCCATCTGTTGCATCTCGTGAGGGCTTCATCTAAATGATTTCAGATTTTCCCAACTGAAGTTTTAGAAAGTTTTAGCTTATGTCACAGCGAGAGCTTTTCCTTTGCTGTTAGAGGGATTTTTTGTTATTATAAAATGTTTAATCTTTTCTTTGTAACATAACTAAATATATTTGGCATATTTAAGTTAGCTCCCCTATATGGACAAATGATTGTTTTTCTTGGGTATTTATTATCAAAAAATCTGGGCAAAAATTAGTGTAAGAGGGCTGAGGATGTAGCTCAGTGATAAAATGCTTGCCTAGCATGTGCGAGGCCCTAGGTTCCATTCCCCCTACCACAATGATAATAACAAAAATTAGTATAAAAACAGATGCTTTTAAAATTTCCTACTATGTAATCAACAAACATGAAAACTGGAGATTCCTTTTATTTTTCTTTTTTCACATATAATTTTATTGTGCATTTATTTATTTATTTTTTTGGTACTGGGAATCAAACTCAGGACCTTGCACTTGCAAGGCAGGCAGCAGCACCACTGAGCTAAATCCCCAGCCCGAGATTCCTTTTAATATTTTAACCCAGATTTATAACTTTGTTTTCCTTTATCCTATACAGAAATAAGTTGTTTCCAGAGTCTGCTGTAAGGAACATCATGTATCAGATATTGCAAGGACTGGCATTTATTCACAAACACGGTAGGTGGTTTGAAGTATTCTGCTTTTGAGTACAAGTGAACTGTTGTCATCTACCAGAAGATGTAGAAAGCATTGATGTCTTTTGTAATTAACTCCCAGAAAAGGTTGAAAAGTTGAGAGGCTGATGATGGAGTTTGGAATATGTTATTGTTTGGAATTTGATTTTTGGGTTTTCTACCTTTATCATGTCCCCATGTTTTTATTCTTCAAGCTTTAGTTATAGGTCTAAAATATTATTCTTGACCATAAACTGTTGTATTAATGAGAAAATGAAGAGTATTTAATTATGAGATGCTGCATGTATTGTATTTAACCCACTAACGTCCCTTCACCGAGGCTTCTCATTTTCTTAGACTATTTATGTTTCAATTTGTTTCAAAGGGTTTAAAAATGACCTAACAAAAATCATACAGTACAACCAGACAAAATAAATTAAAAATTAGAGGAATGAAAAAGAGATAAAAGCTAAACAGGAAGTGTATATAGTCACGGGTGAGGTTAATCCTTAAGCTTCACACCAGCAAGTTTCATTTCAGTGGTAGAAGCCAGCCATAGATTTGATTCTGGGCTTGTTGTCATACAACAGAGAATGTGAAATATGACCAAAGAACACACAGGGTTTCTCCAAGGTAAAAACAGACCAGAAGTATTTTGATGTGAAGACTAGAGAGAAACTTCTCTCATATTCCCTTTGGATGGGGCAATATGGGCCATGCCTTTAAGGTGGACATAGGGACAAGCTACACAGAGCAGCTGGATGGCATATCCCTCAATATAGGCCAGGTATTTCATCTGATCAGCAAAAACATTTCTACTGGGGCTGGTGTGATTCCCTCCAGAGATAATCTGGCTAGTCTCTGAAGAAATTCAGAATATCCAGATTACTCTTCTTAGCTGAACTTTTGAATAGTTTTATGAAATGAATGTGAGGTTCTAATCTCCAGTAACTATTGGAACATCACTGGTCTTTGTCACTAACTGGATGAAGACCCAGATGGGATGGGATTAATAACCTTCTGTGAGCCCAGAGCAGCCAGATGGACACATCTGTGGGTGGTGCCAGAAGTCCTCCAAGGTCACTTTAGCACAGAGACTGATGGGCACAGTGGCTGATGTTGCAAAGGCAGAAGCCCCCACTTAGCTGAGGGTGTTGCCATTGCAAACACCCTACCCCAAGGTGTCTCACCACTCAGTAGAATACCAGGGCAAAACCTGACAATGCCAACAGTTCAGATTTGATGTAAACTGGCCTCGAGTAGAAAAGTCTTGTGTTGCATAAGGTGGCACAGTTACTCTGGAGCTGTTACCAGCTTGCTCCCCGCCCCCCCAAGTAGCCCCTGGCAGTTAGAGATTAAATGAAACGCAGACAAACACAAGCTATCTGTTCAAAATCATGTAGCTTGGGCTCATGCTGAGTAATCCGTGAGGAACAGGCAAGACTGAGTCAAATTATGAACCAATTCTAGAAAAAGCATCATCTCTGATTACACTGAACTTGCAGTACTAGTGCTTTAGTCTTTGTTCACAGAAACTCACAAGGGACAGCATAGATTTGAGAAACACTAAAACTTCTAGTATGGTGTCTTATGGACAAATAGAACAAGGTCACTTACTAGATTTAAGACCTCAAGAAAAAGAAATAATGAAAAATCAAAAGGATTTTCAAAAGAGATAAGTTGACTAGCACATTTTCAGATAGGCATAATCATAGTATTTTAGTTATTGGTGCTAGAAACTGAGTAGACCTAAAAAAGGGGAAGTATTCTCTGGTTTTCTCCTCTTTTCCGTTTTTGCTACTTTTCATGAGACTCAGATATTGGTTGCCAGGATAAACTTGTAGCCATTTGTCCAGAGCTCTACCTAATCAAATGTGAGCGTGTGTGTGTGTGTGTGTGTGTGTGTGTGTGTGTGTGTGTGTGTAGACATGTACAGACCACAACACCTACACCACATGCATGCATACCAATGCATATATTCATTTCTCCCACACATACACAAGCACACATGAATACACACACATACACACATGTATTTGTAGTCAGTAATATAACACCCTTATACACCTGTGTCAAAACAGCCCTCTGGAACCTGGCGCTGTCAGTTTCCTTCAAGTGCCGTAGACACTTGCATTGTGTGTAGAAACAGAGCTAAGGAAGCCTCAGTTTATGAAGGTCAGACCTCTGCTTATATAGCCTCACTACTATTGCCACTGCCAGAGATTCTTTTTGACAACTTCCGCTAGCAATTAGTTCATGGCAGTTTCTGGCAACTAGTGCCCAGTTCTAGTTTGAACTTTAAAATACTTCATCTGTTACCTTATTTATTTCCTCGCCAGCTCCTCAGGTTGAAAGAACAAATGGTATCTATTCCTGAAAGGACACTGAAGTTCAGAGATGTTTTAAACCCTTGCCAAAGGCCCCACTGCAGTAGAGTGGAGATTAATTCAGATAGTCTGTACCTATGTGCCACGCTTCACTAGAAAAAGCTGTTTTCAAAGAGAACAAGAGAATACAAGATCAAGAAAATAATAATAATTGTAAGTGGGTTGGATACAATTTTGTAGGTCTTGTCCCATTTTTACTGATAAATGACTCAGAAACTTTTATGATTGTTGTATGATATTGACTTTGGTTAAAGGCAAACATTCCTCCATATCATTCTTTCTCTTCAGTAACAGAAAGAAAGTCTAAAGCACTTCACCAAGGTGCCTTGTGAGTTTCAGGCTCTTCATTGGTAATGTGCTCTGACTATCAGAAGGTACATTCTGGCCCTGAGGAATAGACTCCTTTGAGAAGGGAGAACAGGGCTGCAGCAGGTTGCTATGGCCATATTTCATGTACTGAGCATTCCCCCATGGAGAATGAACACATGGCTCTACTAGATACTTGCTAAACAATGACAAGTAGATATGCTTTGTGGGAATTAAGCAACTGAGCATGCTATTTCATCCTTGACCTATGACCTGTCCTACAGATATCCAGGTCTCTCCTATCTGTGCAGGTAACAGACATGCATTCAGTGATTTGGAGGACAGTGATTTCCCCCAGAAGTGGTTCTCTGCCTCTGTCTCACCACTGTCTTACTATACATGAGCCTCAGACAGTCCTTTGCCTTGTTGTGCATGACTGTTCCTGTGCCCTTTTTGATAAAAACATTGTAGGTTTAAATTCAATATTATCTGCAATTGCAGCTTCTACAGCAGTAAGATGTGTTGTATAAATGTATAGTGCTTCAATATTTTCTGGTCTTTTCCATATGTTCCTATCAGATTCATCCACAATAGAGTGTGGTGGAGATCAGAAAGCCTTTCTCGTGGCTTGATATTTTTCTTTCCCAGTCATTATCAACAAAAAAATCAGCACAACTCCATTGAAAAGAGAAAAAGCCCTTTGGTTATTCAGCGGGCATGCAGTACCCTAAATTCCAGTTGAAGGCTTGTTCTTGTCTTCTAGAGGTCAAATAGTTCTGAAGAGGAAGGTTCTTCTTGTAACAGCTCTTGTGCGATCTGTGAGTGACTTGCTCTAAGGGTTTCCATTATGAGAAGTGGGCCCATTGTTCCAGGCCACATCACACATTGGCAGGACACAGACATGGCAGTGAGTCAGGTCAGTTTCAGTGCCACCTCCTCACAGCTGGGCAATGTCACTAGCCTCACAAGCCTTCATGTAAAAAATGGCACCATGTCTGCCTGTCCACTTTGACACGTTGTTGGGAGGGTAAAATTAGAGAATTTTCTAAAAGTAGTGCTAATAGTGATCAGCTCATTGAGGTGCCACTGGATGCTCTAAAGGTCCAGCACTGCTCTAAAGGCTTTGCAAATCTAAAATATTGAATCCTCAAAACAACCCCATGAGGTAGGTGCAATTATTTTCTCCATTTTACAGATGGGGAAATCAAGGCACAAAGCATTAAATAACTTTTCAGCTGATAAGTAACAATTGGGATCTGAAATCAAGTAGCCTGGCTGGCCTGCACACTTAACCACTAAGCTGTGTTGCCTCTTTCCTGCATGGGAAATAGTAGTGTTTAACAGTGTAACAGAGGAAACATATCAACTGATTGGTATGTTCATCAGTTATTTTTAAAGAGTCTGTTTGTAATTAATTTTGTTCTTGATATTTACCTTCTAATCGTTGCAGACCCTGAAGTTTGAAAAGGAAGCTTCAGGGAGGAACAGTTGTGTCTTAGTTACTTTTTTCATTGCTGAGACAAAATACCCAACACTCACAAGTTAAGGGAGGAAAGATTTATTGTAGCTCACAGGTTGTAGAGGTTTCAGTTCACAGTTGGCTGGCTCCAAGGCAGGATGGCTGGCAGACAGGCATCACAGAGGAGAAACAGTCCATGGTGTGCAGAAGGCAGGAAAGCAGCAAAGCAGTGAGGCAGAGAGAAAGCAAGCAGAAAGGGATCAGTGATAAGTGACCCCAGGACCCCTCTTTCTGTCCCTTATATTCTGTCCAGGCTGTATGCCCTTAGGGTGGGTAAGCACTCACACTCAGGATGGGCCTTCCCATTATTCACTCCCAGAACTATGCCAAACCAGTCAGTGGTCTAATTTAGTAATCACACACCCTCGATCCCAGCATCACACAGTCTAGATCCCACCACCTCTGAAAAGCCTGACCTATGACCATATGAGGCTTTGTGGGGAGACACAAGCCATAACAAGGCAGAAATTGCAGTTTTCCTCCTCTTCATCAGTGCTTGTGTTCTCTGTGGAAGCAGGATTGAAGATGGTTGAGCAGCAAGGGAAAGAATGATGCGTGGCTGCTGGAGGAGGCAGTTCATGTTTACAGGAACATGAGTCAGGGTGGATGCAGAGTGCAAGGTTGGCATCGCAAGAATGATGCCTGTATCAGAGTGGGAATCAGTGCTGTAGGAAGAGCTGAAAAGGGAGAAGATGTGGGTTTGTTGAGGTGGGTGTTATAGATGGTGCCAGAGGGAGCTGCCATGGTGGAGGAGGGAGGGAGGCTGCAGGACAGATGAGTCGCTGTAAAAGA